AGCAGTATCGGCTGCAATAGCGTGCAGCAACCCGTATCGACTGCACCATGACACAAGCGCCGTTGGTCCAGGGGTCAATGTCACTGTACAGTATTCCCTGCTGTATGGTTAGTCCAACAATTGTTTCTTCATGATACAGTGTACATTCGTTCTGGGCCCTCGTGAGGCTGTAATGCACTTGGATTGAGACCAAGTGAAGCCTACAAGAGTACCTCTAACGAGCACTGACTATCACGCGAATCTGCTCTTAACCTTCCTTGGCTTAGTACGCCGTTCGACAGAATACAAATTATCTGTTTGGTTTGGTCGGGTGCCTCCCGTCATGGTTCCTATCGGCCAAATGCCTCGGATAGTGCAACATTGCCTCGTAAGCAAGGGACCGTCTGAGAGGAATACCGGAGCCTTGGTCAATCATTGTCACAACCCACTAAATAATTTGGTACTGGCTGCCGCTTCTCGTCAATCCCAATCTCAGGGCGATATACATGCAGAGTGTCGTACTACTGAGCCTTCTCGGATCGGCATTTCAGGTGGACGTGGTATGGTGGCGTCTGTTACGCTTCCGATGCTGCAAATCTTGAGTGGTATATTATCATGCTCGTTCTGCTATTCATCTCCCGAAACTGCCATGTCCCCGAGTTCCACACCCTGGAGTCGATTGCCAGTCTGCAGGGTCCCCGGTTTCATATAATAAAGTTGGTGGCTGTGACGGAGTACAAGGCCGCCTTTTTGGCGATTGGTTCCACTTTCTCATTTTCACGAGCGGCCGAGGTAGTAGTTTCGAGATATTTGAATATTACTGCGCTGAGAGTGAAGATGATTTGCAAGTTCGACTCAAAGCTTTGACCTTGTCCACAAACCCCGCTTGTCCAACCCCGGCTCCCCGTCGTAAATGTCTCTCTCCACACGTCGACTGTTGATCTAAACGTGGGGTAACAAACCACTTGTTAGAGACTTATCGTCAAGGGTACTTCAAGGATACGACTCTGCAGTCGGAACTTGCCCTCTGCGAGCCAGGAAGGGGTAAGAAGAGGCACTTACGAATTTTGGTCCTAGCTCCGATATCTTCTTTACTCCGAGCAGTCGCATGCATGTGGCAGTTTCAGCCTCGAGAACTATGTTTCACAAGTGCTTGTTAGTAGTCATTCATGGACAGAAGCACAGCGTCGGGCAAAACAAGCCAAAGATAGAGTTGTTGGCGGTGGCTGTTCCCAAACAGCTGGCACATGAAAACGCCCAAGGACTGAACCGCGGAAACAAACGAACTGGAGCATGAGAGAATCGATGCAAACCAACACCCGCTCGGGCCTTTGAGATGTCCGGTAAACAGGAAAGTTGGTTGGGAGTCATTTCCCAAGAGCCACTTACTTTCTAGTGTTCTTTCGACGCCTGCCTGGCCTCCAGCCCCCAAACCAAAAAGAGCAGCCCGTCCAAGACCAACTGCTTTGGCGCCGAGACACAGAGCCTTGACAATGTCAGTCCCTCTCTTGATACCGCCATCCACCCAGACCTCAATCTTGCTGAACACCTCGGGGCAGTATTTGCGAATCTCCAGTAGCGTGTGTACAGCAGGAGGAGCAGTATCCATGGCCCTTCCGCCGTGATTGGACAAGATGATGGCTTTCACTCGAGGAGCATGTTGAGCTGCCAAATAAGCATCCTCGTGAGTTTGGATGCCCTTGAGGACAATGGGCAAGTCGGTGTGCTGTGCCAACCAGGGCAGGGTTGTCTTCCAGGTCAGATCACACGCGGTTCCAAAGAACAACTGCTGGCCAACGCCGCCTCCGCCAGGTCGCTGAGCATCACCGCTACTGGTCGCCGCCGCTTGAACATTGTTGCCCCTCTCAAAGTTGGACTTTTCATCCAATTCACGCTTCCCTGGCACCGGAGCGTCGAGGGTTAAGCAGACAAATTTGAAGCGGTCCTTCATGGCATTGATTCGCTTCAGCATGGCCACGCTCTTGTCTCGCTGGTTCTGAACGTAAATCTGCCAGCCAAACATTTGTTCTGAGGGACAGCCTTGCACGATTTGTTCCGGAGTCATGGAAGCATTATTCGAGATGACTTGCAAGGCATTGAAGCGAGCAGCGGCTTTGGCGATGCCATGCTCACCATCTGGGTGCGCTAATCGTGCCATTGCAGCTGGTGCAACAAAGAACGGGACTCCGACTTTGTGACCAAGCAATGCGGTTGACAAGTCACATTCTGTGCAGTCGACAAACATGCGCGGCCGCAGCAGGATGTCGCGATATACGGAATTGTTGAACGTCTTGGATATCAAGTCGTCACTAGCTGAAAAATAATACGCCCAGGCTTTCTTGGGAATTCGCTTGGTTGCCTCTTCCTCAATCTCGTCCAGATTCAGTAGGGACTCTAGCGGCGGGCGATAGTCGTCTGAGGGCACCTCGGCTTCTGGTGTAGACACTGGCTCTGGGAGAGTCTCTGGGTTGATTTGGCCTAGCTTGGCCTCGGGCTTGAGATTCTCCTCGAGAGTGCCAGGCGGATGGACAGGGTCGTAGTCCTCAGTTGCATCTTGACCGGCGAGCTTCAGGATAATCCTGGAACCGCCAGGATGAGAGGGAAGAAAGTCGGTGACGTCGTAGACATTGCCGTACAAAACGACCCAGCAGCTTTCTGGGGTATTGTGCTTGGCGACTATGGTGAATCAGCAGGTTTTGGATTTTGAAGCGAAGCTCAATTGCCGAGTAGAAGCGGCTTACCTTCAGCGGCGTCAAACAGCTTGGCCATCTCTAGTCGTTTTCAATGCAGCAGCTCTATTAGGTCACAATATACAACAAAATGACAGCGAGCCAAACAGAAGAGAACATGGAGAAAAAAATGGCAATGGCTAACAATTCACAGAGCTGTATTTGAATCAAGAATTGTCGAGTTCCGTGGCTGTTCGCCGGGTAATAAAGCGACCACGAAAGCCAAGCGGAGTCGGAGATGGAGCGCCTTTTGGCTGGCGGCCGAGAAACGTTATGGGGCATTTGCCGCCGAGGCCTGCCAAACGCGGCAATATCCCACCTCCACCCCCACCTCCACATCTACGGCGGGCAGCCATTGAGATGCGGGCTTGTCAAAGAACCGACGCTGATGGGTGGAAAAAATAAGTCAAGAGGTCAAGGCCCGGCAAATGGACCTCGTTTTACTTGAGAAACCGAGTAGAAAATGTTGGTCTGCTGCCGGCCATCATGTCTCAGCAAGAAATGCCGAGTCATACATAGCACTTGAACAAGTAGCTGTGCTTTGTGCTCTGCAACTACATGATATGCCCAACACCAAAAGCTGACCACTTGAATTGTGCGGCATCGGATTGGTTGAGCCGTCCCAAGCCGACGGGTGGATACACTGGACGTGGTAAATCCTCGGTCCAATTCCCCGGACGGCTCCCCGCGTCGGGCTTCGGAGCTCCGTCGTCCTTGAGAGAGGAGCGTGCGAATGACTTCATCACATTGCAACCCTGCCATGTTTTGCATTTTTAGATTTTCCTTTTTGCATATTTGCATGACTTCACCAGCGCAACAGTGCGACGCGCCTTCATCCATCTGGTGTCACATCATTAGGAAAACCATCGCATCTTGCCTGATCCAAACCTTCCTTCTAGTACCCTTCTTTTGCAAAAACATGCGCGCCATCTCCGCGACACAACGCATCTGCGGACGGTGCCGCCTCCACGCCCAGACGACATCGCCGCCCGTCGCCGCCGTCTCGCTAGCCGCAGTGAAAGCTCCCGCGCCGCGAGACCCGGCAGTCCACCAGACGCGGCGATTCACACAGCGGCCTTCTCTCGCCTCACCGCCGCCCTCGTCCTCGTCCTCCTCGGCGGCGGCGGCGGCGGTAGCAGAAGCCAACACGGCCCCCAAGACGGCGCCGTCACCACCGCAAACCCTCTACTCCTTCTTCCCGCAAACCCTCCCCGACGGACCGCCCCCGAACGGCCACTTCCCCATCAATCTGCGCTCCCTCCGCGCCGAGTTTCTGCGCCTCCAGTCCCGCCACCACCCGGACCTGCACCCGGCTTCGTCCAAGGCGCAGGCCGAGGCGACGAGCGCCGCCGTCAACGAGGCCTACAAGACGCTGTCGAACCCGCTGCTCCGCGCGCAGTACCTCCTCTCGCTGCAGGGCGTCGACGTCGCCAACGACGAGACGCTCAAGGTCGAGGAGCCGGAGCTGCTGACGGTCGTGCTCGAGGCCCACGAGGCGATTGAGGAGGCGCGCAGCCCTGCCGACCTCGAGGGGCTGACGGCGGAGAATGAGGAGCGCATACGGAGGTGCGAGGAGGTGCTGGAGGAGGCCTTTCGGGAGCACGATCTCGAGAGGGCCAAGAGGGAGGCTGTCCGGCTGCGGTACTGGGTCAACGTGAGGGGGGCCGTGAGTGACTGGGAGGAGGGGAAGCCTGCCGTCTTGCAGCATTAGGATTTGTTCATGCTGGGCTGTGCAAGGGGGCCCGGGGGGCCGGGGGCAGGGGGGTGCGTTTGTGATTTTGTAATGTATATTATGGGCATATAGACGACAATGTGCGTTTGGACACGCCTACAAGGACAATCACCGCCTTTTCTCATCGGTTAGTGCCATGGTATTATTCAAGTGTGATTTGAATGTGTTGTTGATTGGGGGGTTTGGTATCGTCTCGGAGCCAGTCATGTCTACACGTAGTACATCTAGGTAATGTACACATGAGCCGTCAGAAAACACACAATGCACATCTTGGTAACGGCCTCCAAGTCCAGTTATTACAGAAAAAGTAATCAAAACCCATGGCATTCTTGCCAAAAACCCCGATGCAAAACCAGATTCTCCACGCCATATACATAATATACCACCAAAACTCCCATGCTCGCCATCAATCAAATGGGGACCCCTTGTTCCACCTTGTACATTGAATCCAATTTTCGTATGCTCACGCCGATATCTCTATAATCTCGAAACATGAAATGGACAAGAACCAACCTCTTATATACAATATAGCGCCCCTCCCTTTTGTTTTTTCCATCGCCTCATCTGTGATACGCCGGTAATTGTTCCATATGCGAGTCACCGTCCCGAGATGAACCGGCGCCGACGCCATATCCAGGATATTCATCTGCATCATCGAGATCAGGGGCTGTGGCTTCGTTGGCAGCATCTGCTGACGAGCTACCTCTCGGTCGCTCCATGTCATCTGGAAACTCTGGTGGCGCGCTAGCTTCTTCCATTAGCCTTCGACGCTCGAGCTCTTGCTTGTCCTCCGTCGGGTGGCCAGCGGTTACTTCGTCCTCTGTGGGTGCGGATGGAGCAGCTTCGGCTTCGTCCGTGGTCGGGACAATGGGGCCAGAGGATGCCGCACGAGGCGTGTCTTCTGCGTCGTAAATATCGTCGTCTTCCCCTGGTGTTGAAGGTCCTGCTAGCGGTTGACTTGGTAATAGCCTCGTTTCAGCTTGTCGTATTCTGTCCTTCTCGGACATGTTGGTCTGATCAGGCATCTGAGGCGGCGGGATATAGGACGGGGCGGCCTGCGGGCGATGGCCATTTACTTGAATGTCTCGTGATGAACCCGCCGTAGCCAAGGAGGATTGCTGGTGGACATCGGCGGGATGCGGAGGCGGGGTGGTGTAGTCGAGTTGGGTATTAGGTGGCGATAGGTGTGATTGCCCATTGGCAAGTATTGAGTTGAGTGGATGGTGAGGGCAATTATGGGATGGGGTTTCAGGCTGGATACTTTCGTCCTCGTCGGCTTCCTCCGCAATTCGAATGGTTCTTGTTTTGGCGACTGGCTTCGCAGCTGGTCGTGCTTTGGAGCTGTCGGTAGTCCCCACCACGGTTTCAAACGACAACGATATGATGCCTTTTTCACGTCTGACCTGCGAGGTATCTGCAATGTTGGAGCCCCTCTGAGGGCCGAATGAGCCTTGATTTGACTCTGTATTGCCACCACTGGACGCGCCAAATCTTGATTTCGAACCACCAGCCCCTAGCTGAGTCGACAGCCTGCCTCCCAGGTCGACAATCACTTCAACTTGATACTTGAAGCTGATCATATCACCTGGCACAGCCTTGATTGTTGGGAAAGCATCGTCAGGCACCCTCACGGAGACGGTGACAGAAGCCTGCAGCGTTTGAGGGTCGATGATGAGCGGTGCGGCATTCTGGTCCAAGTCCTTGCGAAACACGCTCGTTGAGCCGCTTGATGATAATGACAGCCCTGCCAACCCAGTTCGTGACTTTGGATATGGGTCGTCTTTGTGTAGCTTCCTTGCGAAGTGGACGCCTTGGGCGACCAATGATGGCGGTGGGTTTGTATCAATCCTCCCCTGCCGAAACAGAGTCGCAATGACACCAGTCATGCTCTTTACCCTCTTGATGTGTTGCACCGTAACTCTCACGGAGACAGTGTCACCAGGAAGGCAGCCGCCCTTGAGCAACTCGACAGTCGCTGTAATCGTCTTGTCATCCACAACCTGTTGCTTTGCTGCGGACGTAAGTGTCGAGCCCACGTGTGATAACTGGGTGAACTCGGCCCTACTGGCGGTGCTGACGCTCCGGCCACTCTCGCCGCTGATTTCGCTATGCATATCGCTTGGAGCAGATCCTGTGCGCGTCTCAATTGGCGAACTGTGAGAGTTATCACCGCGGGTAGAATCCTCCGTGATGACGGATGAGTCGGCTTCGGAAGCAACATCATTGATATCGACGGAAGCAGAGCCAGATGGCTTGTCATTGACGGCAGGCTTTTTTCTTCGGGTCCGTTTAGAGATGGGCTCTAGGAAAATGGTTCTCGACCGCGGCGGTGCAAGCAACCCGACGTCTATTTGCTGAACAAGAGTAACCTTTCTCTCACAGGTTGATGTCGGCGCGATGGTCGTGGGTCTTGTTATTGTGGCGGTAATGGAGTATGAAATAGTTCCCCGCTCGAACTAATATCCCACGTTAGTTTCCTTTTTTTGTTTCTTTCTTTCGTTCTTTTGTCTTCTTTCTCGACGACTTGGATTTTTTTTTTTTTTTAATAAAAAAAGAAAAGAAACAAAGAGGAGCATATGAAAAAGTGGCTTACGTCAATGCTGCTAGGCAGGCCCTTGTCCGGGAATATCAAATCGAAGCCAAACTCATATTTGCCCGGCTCTATCCTCCCCTCACCGCTAAGAACCTGCTCGTCTTGAAACAGACTAATCAATCCATTGCCCTGGTACTGTGGCCGCCGTGAGCTGCCAGGCGGGGGCAGAGTGGTGACGCTCTGCGCCTTCGCCACGGACGTGGGGTCCTTGAGGACTCGGACAAAGCCATGCAGCGAGACGACGAGGTGGGTAATACGCAATGGCTTGACGACGACGAGAACAACGGCACCGCGGACGGAATCCCCGGCAGCATACGTCCTGTGCGGCTCGTCACAGCGGATGTGGAAGTCGACGACGTTGCGGTTTCTACTCCGGAGGGGCAGTGGCAGCTGCAAGGGCAAGCTCAATCGCGACAACAGGCTCGGGCGCTGAGGAGCAGTTGGCGATGGTGACTTGACCAGCGACGGCGCAGGCACGGCCGGCTCGGTGGCTGCCTCGCCGGCATTTTCGGGATCCCCAGAGACTCCAGCCGCCGCCGCGGGCGTCGCGAACGAGGGCGTCGACGATGTCGAGAGACGGCCGCCGGCTCCGTCCCGTGGGGGATCTCGCGGCATTGGGCGAGCACGTTGGACGGCTGCGGGCCAGGCCCAAGGGCAAGGCTCGCAAACGCAAGCGCAAATGCAAATGCAAGATGCAGGCGCAGGCGCAGACGCGGTGCCTGAGAGGAGCAAGCGATTCCGTCGGTGGTCGCTGCCCTCGACGGCTCGAGGTTGTGATACAATGATGCTATGATGCTATGATGCGGACGAGCAAGAAGATGTCCGGTCAACGGGTCAAGTCGAGTCGAGTCACGGCAGAATAGCACAATCCCAAAACTAGGCGTGCTTGGCGGCGGGCTGGGGCGGGAGGTCTGCTGCATCTGCGCCGTTGGGCGAGGGGGCTTGGGGGCTTCCCGGAGCGCTCCCAGGGGTGTGTGTGTGGGGTGGGGGGGGAGCACGGCCAAGGGAGGGGGGCGTCGCGGCCAGGGCTCAATCTGGTAGCCATTTGATTGATCCATCAACATTGGAACTCTGGGACGGCCGGACATGTCGCCGAATACCACCAGCCCTAAAATCAAACCATAGCCCTTTGAAAAGGGGAGCCAAGAGCAGTTATTAAGGAGCAATCGACTGCACACCACCTGTCGACAGTCTTCGCCCGGCCAGACAGCCCCCCACGTGCCTTTAGCGGCACGACTCTGCCATCATGGTGGCATCACCGTGGCATCGCGGTGGCAGCGACTGCAACAACGGATCAAGTGGAACAGAATCCACCACACCCTCTCATCCTGTATCCGATAAGGGGGCATACCCGAGGCGGAACAAAAGAAAAAAAAAATAATAAAAGCAAAGGCAGCGGCAGCGGCAGCGGCAGCGGCATGTTCTAAGCAATCAACACTCCAACTATTGCTCCCTACCTACCTAGGTACCTAGTACCTAGGTACGGAGTACTCCGTACTGATTGATGCTTTGGTCCTTGTGCCTTGTGCCTCGTGCCGAAGCTTTGCCAGCTCCCATGTCGGAAAGCTGGGACCAAGGTCCGTGACTCTGTCAGGTCGCATGTTCTCAGTTGACACGTCATTTTTCTTTGTTTGAGGCACAGCGGGAGAGACCTACCTTTGCCCATGGAACCAAAAAAAAAGTTTGGTTCACAAACAATTGCTGCAGGACTATGACAACCCCGGAACGCAAAGCGATGGTAGAGAGACGCAGGCCAGGCCAAGTCGCCATTGTCATGCTTGACTCGAGGTTGTCGCCCGCGCGTGCACATGTGTATTTCTTTGTCGCCGTCTTTTCTCCCTCCCTCCTTTTATTGTATTGTCTTAAGATTGGCGATGCCTGCATCTTCTAGAATTCCACAGTGGGCTAGGGGCCTGGTTCAACGACACGTTTTCTGCATCAACCGTCATAGCTCCCGCGTGGCGCGCGACCAACCAACACAGGTATGTTTCTGTACAAACATGTGTACATCTCGAGGCACGAATGCCCTTTGTCCTTGTCCTCTGTACTCCGTATTCATCCGTCTATTCCCTCGCACACGTACATACATACATACTCTCGTATCCTCAGAACGGCCCGGATGCTCTGGTTGGGTCTTTGCCAACTGCCAAGAGCCGTGGGGAAGCCAAGAAAAGCTTGGTTCGCTTGAACTTTTGCCTTTCTGTCAGCCCTCAAGCCACCAATGCTCCATCGTCGTCCACACTACGGAACATTTTCTATGAGGGAGACGTGGCACCTGCCAACTGCACTACTAAAAGTGGACAACTCTCCTGGTAGCGCAGGCTGTTTGTCTCTCTCTACATGCATCACATTTTCCAGGGAATCGCTCCCCGTAGCTGTAGTGGTCGAGTTCGACTTTCATATCGACGTAGCAAAGAGAAATATTACAGCATCAGTATATTTCTTTACTCGTGTTGGGTATCATCCTACGTCAGCCCACCACACAATTGTACAAAACACACAACCTGCGCCATTAATGCCATCAATGCGTTCCATCTAATGCTCCTCAAATCCCAAACGCCTGTGCCAAACCCATGCCATGTATACAAACCAGCGCCAATTCCCCTCAATATAAAACACTCTGATTATGCAAACAGTGCCTTCATGTTCCAAGACGGCCGAGTCTCCGTCAGTCTATACCTCAGTCCAATGCCTCACCTGACAAAATACTCCTCAAGATTCCGGCGGCTGGTCCGTCGGCCACCGACTGGATTTCCTTCTCTCCCGTGCAGCTAGCGACACGCTTCTCGCCCTCACTGCCAACAGTCGACTTCCGGCCACGCTTGCTAGGTGTCTGTGCCATATTGAAGCTGCCATTCTTGCCATCCACAGCAGCAATGAGGCCCAAAGTCTCCAAGCTACCAACAACCTCTCGGAATTCCGAGCTTGACAGTGGGTGCAGCAATGAGTCTCGGGTGCACAACTGACAATATGTGTCAAATAGTGTCTTGATTGTCGGCGCCAATGATTGGGACTTGGACGGGGTGGCTGGCGTGTTGGACGCCCTCATCAATGCTCGACTCCTGTTTTCGTACGCTGTCAGAGCACACAGGGCAACCTTTTGTTGGAGATTCAGTGTCTTAAGCCGTTGAGTTGTGCCGTTGCTAAAGGCTGCAGCGGTGACCTTGTTGAGATGTCCTATCGACGCCCGAGGCGCAGTCTCTGCCGTCAAGCTCTTGAGAGAGCCGGCCATAATCTGCAGAACACTCCTCGCCGATCCAACTCCCGCAGCCCCATTCATGTTTTCGCCCAAGGGTCGCTTGGATGGCGTCATCTGAAGCAGCTTCTCCCGAGCCTCTTCCTCATGTTTCGATCTGGTCTCGGTTTCGATCAAGTCCAGTGCACGGCGACATATCTCAAAGGCCTTTCGAAGATCTCCAGTCTGGCTGGCGACTTTTCGAGAACACAGCTCAATGGCGGCTGGGTGAATAAAGGGAACGTAACCCTCCTTGCCAGCCTCGGGCATGAGAGACTTGAGCCTTGTGGTGATGATATTCTTAACCTGGGCGGCCGTGTATGGTAAGAATGGCAGGAGATCTGGCTTCAGATTCTTCGACTTCAGTCGTGGCAGGAAGCGATCGGTCAAATCCAGAGCGTTTGCGATGCCGATCAGGGCCAGGCGGGATGATTTTTGAAGAGACCACTCAAATACCCGGTAAAGGCTCTCAAGGCCCATGGTCATGATGTGATCGATTTCGTCCAGGACGATTAGGTAAACTGAAGATGACTTTGTTTTGGGGCAAAATGCCAGTTGTAGTGTTAAGATGGCTTCACTCTCTGATGATGCGTTGGCGTCTTCTCCGAGCTCGGTGAGCAAGGTGGTGTACAAGTCTTTGGAGGACTTGATGCTCATGCAGTTGATGTATACACTCTTGATACCTTCTTTCTCGGAGAAGCCCCGAGTCATTTCTGTGATCATAGCGCTCTTGCCGGTTCCGGGTGCACCACTGACGTAGAGACAGCCGCTCGGTGTTGACGAGCTGCAGCGGTTGAGGAACTTGATTAGCTCCATTCGCTCAGATTCTCTTCCGATGAGCTGTCCTGGTTCTGCCCCACGGCTAAAGAGTTGCCGTGCAGAGTGGTAGATGGTCTGGATGGTAGACGGCGACAGAGGAGAGTTTGGAGTTAGACGTTTGAAAAGTTTTCCCGCCGACATGACTGCATGCCGAGGAGTGGTAGGATAGGCTGACAGCACATCTCGATGTCGTGGAGTCGATGGCGTGACTGGGTTCTTTTTTATGGATGTTTGTGATTCAGATCTCTGCCTCTTTCGGGGAGCATCCTCGACCACCTTCACCTCGATCCCGACGGTGTCGTGAGCATCGGGAGTGCTTTGAGGGTCTTGGTTCTCCTCATCATGCTTGTAGAGGGCATATGCGTCGTGGTGACGGAATTTCTTGGTGGGAGTTGCAATAACGACTGCTGCTCATTCAGTTAGTCTCAGCCAATGATGTAGAGGATTCACCTTCGCATGGTGTCTCCTTCACTTACTAGAATCCCTATCGTTGCGATCCCTCTTTCCTAAAGCAGAGCAAGGCATTGTGATGGACAGTCCCTTCTGAATTATGGCAATGCAGTGCAATTGAAGGGCGGTTGTCCTTGCCGAAATGTTTGGAATTTGGAAAACATGAAGATGGGAAGTCGAAGGGGAGAGCAGGCCAGCGGTAGCCAGGGCAATTAAGAAGCATGGGAGGTCGTACCCATACCTGCCCTTGCGCAGCCGCGCCACAAGAGGCGTGAAGATGAACGGCGGACGCGTTGGTACGCGTGATACGCGACCGAACGAACTCATTAAACTTTGTGACCCATGCACGTGGCACGTGACGCGCTCTTCAATGGCACGGCCATAGTTCATACACAACCATATATAATTTCTTTTTTGTTACTACAAAGCACACTTACATATGTGTGTCTGCGTAGCGGACAGACATATGTATAGCTCGGGCACATGGACAGTCCATTGGATGAATTGCGGCTGTGTTTGCGATGCAATGGATCAAACCGCCCGTGCTACTCGATATTTTCGAACTTCGGCGTGTTGGTGCCAACCCGAGTTTTCCACTATTCTCCGGCAATTGCGAGAGCGTATCACAAATACATCTATTTCGGGCTTCTAGAGACTATTTGAGCAGTACGACGCCCTTGAAGCGAATTTACCCCTGTTGGTCCCCGACTTCGGCTGGCCTGTCTGCACATCTCAGTCACTCCAATCGACCATCACACAGTACATTGCCCTCTTTGAAGAGACTCCAGTATTTTACTATCTTCCTAGATGTTGCCTGTGAGCAAAGTTTGTAGTAGAATTCATCGCCTATATGGAGCTATGGAGCATTAATCGACTTTTGTGGAACCATGACAGGTCGATGGGCATCATGAACCATATGCTTGGCTTTGAGACCTGGCAGTATTGTAATAACGGACATGTTCGATGCCGCAACAAGCAACTCCATGTTCTCTGCCAAAAAGCAGGCTGACTTGTGTAAGCGTTAGGGCAACACATATCCCAGTGTGATTCTGGCAAGGCATCATCATTCAGCGAGAGTTGCGACTGCAGACTCTGAAAAATTATGCGTTAGTCATTCTGGGCTTGTATAAGAGGAGAGTGATCCAAAACGCTCAGAACTTACCAAAAGGGTTTCCAGTCACACACATGCAAGTCGCATTCCTGTCGTGCTGGCAATGGAAGACTCACAGCTCGTCATTCTCGTCACGCTACTGACATACGACCATACCATTTGGTGAGTACGTGTTTGCGAAGCTTTATAGTCTGGAATCTTAATATAGTCATTATACGGAGTACTTCACAGGCATTTAATTTTTTCCCTTGGACAGCCTCGTGATAAACAGGGGTTCGAGGCGCCGAGGCGACAAGTTGTCCTGATGTCTTGATCAACCACAAAGCTATGCGAACAGAAAAAAGGACCGAAACTTAATAATGCCCAGCATTTATTAAAATCTAACTACAGCATCTAGTTAGACGACACCGGGGGCTTGGAAGGAGTTGGTCACTCTGGCAGCGGCGGCCTTCGCCTTGCTCGCCTTGTTCTTGTTTGCCTTGGCGCCATTATTCTTCTTCTTGGCCGCCGTGTTCGCGCCCGCCTTCTTCTTGGCCGCTGTGTTCGCGCCCGCCTTCTTGGCCCCCTGTCCGGGCGTCCGTGCCACTATCTCGACGTCCTCGACTTCAACATCGCGCTCGTCGAGGGTGATGGTAGTGTCGACTTGTCTAGCTTCAACAGCATTCGCGATTACCGAGTCGTCAAAGTCTCTAGCTGCGACGTCAACGTCGCGCTTCTCGGAGTCGAAGTCGGAAACGACAGAAGGCGCGGCCAGCGCGCCGGTGAGGAGAGTGAGGACGAAAGCAGATGAGACCTTCATATTGTTGGATTATGCAGTAGTTGGTTGTAAGAGAAAAAAGTAGTAGAAAGTTGTGAAAACGAGGAGTATTTGTCGAGTTGCTTGTTGTGGTTGTTGTAAGGATCCTTTCTATTTTGGAGTCTTGATACGACGACTCTTTTATATTTGTAATTTTTTCTCTCGTATATCAGCCAGGTCTTGTACCCGAGTAGTAACCTCAGCCTTTTCCCTCCCTATCTGAACCATTACTCTGTGACGGTCTGCATGACGGATCGTTTTCAACCGAAACAAGATCCACCGTGTCGGAGAAACTGGGCACAGAGAGAGATTTCCCAGTCTGGCATCCTCATCCTGGCAAAGGGCAATCGTGACTTTCGTTAGCCGGGCCTGATCAGTGATGAGCGGTTCAAGGTTCGGCAGTAGCATGCCGCTGGTTTGTCGCACAGAAAGCTTAGCTGGTCTGAAGTCTGGTTTCAGCTGCGTCTTCTCGCACAGATTTTGATGCTTGGGCGAAGGCACCTGGTTGCCCTGCCAAATTCCCCGTCTCGTCTTGTCCGCTGATGCGCTCTCAACATCAGCCACGGAGTCGCGAGCTCCGTACAGACTCGAGATGCCAGCCCGAAACGACAAAACGTCGAGTCATATCCAAGCATCTTCGTCGGGGTGGAGCTCAGGCGTAAGGCTGTGCCGAAACGACCCCCAAAGCTCGCCGTGATGATGCCGCGATACTCGAATCTGGGTTTCAGCACTTGTCTGAGTAGCTTCACTTGAAACACGTCAGACCCCTCCACCACGACACATCTCCGCGCCATGAGATGGAAGGCAAGCCATGGCCGCGTTGATTTCTTGACAGATTTCCATGATTGTTCCTTGCCCATCGGGCGGCTGTGACAGCCCTTGGCGCCATTGATTGGCCGTTTCGTCTCCCCGTTTGGTTGCTGCCTCGTGGCATCTCGGCAAGCCTCCGTAAAAAAAAAACAAAAAATGCCAAGACAACCACTCTAATCGCTCTTTTAATCTACCACGGGATATTGATCACTAAGATCGTCTCTTGTCTCTTGTTTGATATCGAGTAAGAACTGACACGGACCCAGTTCTTCGCCGTTTGATGCCACGAGCTCAACGACGAGTCCAACGTCGAGCTCAATATCGAGCTCGACTTTGTTCGAGTCCTTCTGGAACAGGAAATCCGCAGTTTGCCTGGAGTATTGCATCTACTGACGCGCCGTAGAGAGGTAATGAGGTAATGCTACCGCTAACGGCGAGCCCGAGGCGCTTTTTAATTGCGGATGGTGCGGACGGCCTATGATTCAATAATCCCAGCTACATACACCACATTATCAATAAGACAGGCATGTATCTGTGCAATATGGTAACTCATCGGTGGACAATCAGATGATATCTATTCGCCAATACTTTCTTGAGCTTTATTCCTTCGTATTTGTCTTGCGATTCAACGCAGCGTCTCGAGGATAATATATCGACAATCTAGACGTTGCTAGGCTTGAACTGTGCTTGTTTCCCAGGCATCTCTCTGACAAAAGGCCAACCACTCATGGCATTTCAGCTTCGTCTTGGCGATGCTACTTATCAATCGCATGCCTGGGCCCTGATGTCCCGTTGACATGACTTCTATCTGGCGCCAAAACACGCTGGTTGTGAAACGACCAGAGGCTGAATAGAATCCCATTGCCATCCGGATGTCTATGGTCTACCAAGTCTTGGCCTGGTCCATTTATCTTGACAAAAGAAAAAAAACATTATGCGGCCCAGCAGAACAAACGGGCCAGTATTGAGGAGATGGCGATGGCCATAGCAGCTGCGTCAACCTTCTTTGAAGCAGCCCTCTCACTGCATTACGAGGACGGACAGGATGGCGCAGGATGGCGCAGATTGAGCCCAATGGCACTTGATCAAGCCCGTAGTAGAGTCAGAACATATCATGAAGTTCTTAGCTCGTGCTCGGAAAACAAACAAGTTTCCCTCCTCTGATCTCCACATGGATACCAGCAGAGGCCTCATTGACATGGGTGAGAATGTCAATCGCCCCTTTACCACATCTAACCCAAACAACAATGAAGATCAATTGGAACAATGGGGTAATGGGGGTGAGTGTGACTCGCGAAGTTGCAGCGATAAAGAGGACTCCGTCAACATCATGCACCACGTGTAGATGCCACACGCAGTGTTGCAGGGAACGCAACGTCCAAAATTACGCAACATACTCCAAATATGGCTTGATTTCTTGGAGCCAGCACTGAGGCCTCCTGCAACTGAAATTTGTATACGTCCACAAACTATGTACGATGACTCAACCGCCCAGTTCGTGTCTCTGAGTACCCATTATCTCGCTTCGTGTCGACTCCCCATCACCTCACTCCTCACAGGCTCCGTACCAGCTGTTCGCGCAGGAGTAAGCGGAGCCAACTGCGTCGTTGACCAGTTCCCCAGAGTCGTAGAATCATACTGCGACTTTTGGGCGCGCTGCAGGTTTCCCTTCCTCCTCTCTCGCAGGAACAACGCCGCAAAGACCGCCGTTGCGCACACCAGCGAAACACCAACTCCGATACCAAATGGTGACGGCGGTCGCGATAGGCACAGTCCCTCTGCACCGTTTCCATGGCGCGCTCGTCGCGGTTGTCAACGCTGCAACGTCGTTTCGCAGCGCGTCATTGTCGACGATGTTGCCCCCCCGGGACTGTGAAGTTCTGATGCTGCAAAGCGACAAATGACAGGCGAACCTGTGATCTGTTATTTCCACATGCCCACATGCCCGAGTGCTGTTTGCCTGCTGCCAAGTGGCTCTTGTCAGTCAGAATCTTCTTTCTTTGAGCCGTAACGTGCTTGATGCCATACCAGACGATTCGATGCCACTGTTGCCTCTGTGACCTAAAGTTCTTGTCCGTACAGCCGGCACGGTATGTGGTCATGTTGTGCGGCTCGTAGCAAAGGCCGTTCGATAGACAATAGTGGCTTTCGTAGCGGCATGCCGAGGTTGACTCATCTGGCCCTTGGCCGCATGGACGCAGATTAGTTGCCTCGCTACCGTTCGGCCAGCAGCAATCATGTGCCCTCAAAGTCGACATGAGCGAGAGGGGCAGTAGAAAGATTTGGGCGAGTTCCATTCCAGACAATGCTGGCCTTGGATACTCCCCCATAGTCGGCGGTGCTCTGCTCCGTGGCTGTTGCGGTGACAATTCGCCAATGGAACCGATGCGGTTGGAGGCCGATTGGTCCATGTAGTTGTAATTCAAGGGCTTTTGGAAGATTGACCTTGAATTAATTGGGAAACAAGAACGCCTTGGATTCTTCTTCTCTGGCGTAGGCGTCAACCATGACTGGCAACCCATAACATATTAGCTGCTGACCTCGGCTAAATCTCACCCTACTTGTGAGTGGTAATTTAGATGATTCATAACTTGTGCTACGTAATATTGTGACTTGCCAAAAGCCAAAAAAAGGCCGCTGCAGCAAATAATATCATCTTTCGCTCGCAGCTGCGGCGAGCACGAGCCTAGACGCACACCGCAAATCTCGGATATAGTAAGAAACAACAAGTACCAGTCAACCACACATAGAGGCTGAAGAATCATGTTCGTATACATATAGAACTTAGCTCCAAAACTTGGCGGTCTGAGCTTCGAGGTGAGCACGTGGCCCATAACAACATGCAAGAAGCACTCTTTGACGCATTATGGATGTCTGGTGAGAATACCATGCAAAAGACTATGCGTTCTGGCAAATAGGAAAGCTTCATTATTCTAGATATTGAAGATCCTTCCCCACCGGCTCCAGGAACCATTGTAATAATAACGTGAATCAGAACCGGCCAACTAATAAAGACACAATCGCCGCACAGCCCGCAGGCAATGACACAACGGAAATTCGTTCATTTACTACCGTTGTTACGTCTAAATAGTCAAGGGTGCGTTGGAATAGGACTACGTGCGTATGATTCACATGTAAAGCGATTCAATCTGAGAAGCTAGGCCCCGTACTAGACGTATCTGTCCATGTGCCCCTTGCGAGCAAATTGTAGTTGGAATCAATGACAAGCGCTCTCAAGTTCACTATCCCAGACTGTTAATCATGTGTTGGAATCGGACTCTATCAGTGCGCAGCATTCCCCGAACCTGGACTTCATTGCTCAGGCTCACATACATACACATGGAACATCACCAGCCAAATGTCAATTATACAATTCAACCAGCTACTATCTAACCGCAAGCTATGAAAAGGCTAGTGGTTGAGTGGAGCTGCCAGAAACACGCTGGTAACCACCTAAAGAAGCAGGATATCACATTCACCTCCCTAAAATCATTCAGTCATCAACAACTGCGTCGTCGTAGAATATATCATATACAATACAAATCATACTTCTGGCATGGGTCAGCCCAAAACTAATAAATACCGCTCTTGGCATAGCCACAATGCTGGTGATGCAATAAAACGACCACTGATCCCACATTCAGGGGAAATAATGCGTCCATGCTCATCCCGCCACTCTTCGCACCCATAGCGTTGTAGGCTCATATTCAGCGTTCTTGTCTTGGCGCTTATAAGCACGGAATAACTGAAGGCCTAGTTTATGCTCTTCACTCTGGACCACGGCCAATTCCTCCCGGAGACCCTCGACCTTTTGCTTTTCCTCTTCTCGCCTGCGCAGAACTTGATCGCTAGCCAACAAGTTGTCCTGAGGCATGAGCTCTGTCATCTGTTTGATGCTCTTCTCAATGTTGGCGCGGCGGTGAGCCAGACTGTTGAGTTGAGCGTTCAGTTGCGAGACTGGATCGTCAGCGAGCGACAGCTCAGGTGGCGCCGGGGGAAGAGGCTTAGACATTGATAACGTAGACGCCCGACGGTCTGCCGATTTCATGTCGCTCATGGACCGATGATATTGACTTGTGGCATCATAACCATCAGAACGAACCTGAGATGCTCCCACAGTCGTGTATGGGCTCGACATCGACACCACCGAAGGCCCCTCGGAGCTAGTTGGCCTGTATCTGTGGCCACTCGCTGGCCTCCCAGTATTCACAGAGCTGGAAGCTGGTGGCATAATTGGTAGTGGCGGTACGTCTTCCTCGGCGGATTGTCGAGGAGTGCCTGGATTTGATGTTGCATAAGTGGTGATGCTGAAACGCGAAGGGGGCGGCACCCATGTCTCTTCTGGACGGGCTGGAGACGGCCGGGCAGGGGTGGCTAAATTTCCCGCGCCGTCTGAAGATTTGGCATTTGAGGGCAAGAAGTTCAGACTAGAGATTGCCTGGGTTGATTGAGGAGGCGGCTTCCTCTTGAAGGCTTTGATGGAAGAGGGGAGGGGCTCTGGTGGATGTGACGCGAGAGCTTGGTTATGCCAGTTAGGTGGAGGGGTATGACGAGCCCTGGGCTCGGGCGTTGGGAAGTCGCTATGGGGGGGACTTGGATACGGATTCTCGGCAGTGACAGGTTGCCGCTCAATGGAGAGCTGTGTCGGCGGTGAGATCGATTTTCTGGTTCTGTGCTTAGCGGTAAGGGGAAAAAACTTCCTCATCGTGCTTCCAGCGCCAAAAGACTCGGACGTCCCAGATCCTGTAGCTGCTGCCAGTGGTCTCCCGTTGCGACCGGGTCGTTTGCTGCTCTTTCGCGGAATGCCCAGTGGCGCAACATTCAAGTCGTCGCGAACAGGTTCGACTATCACAGACCGGCCACTAGCTCCATTCCAAGGTGGGCGGTTATCGAGTGGTTGCAGCTTCTCTTTTGTAGGCGCACGCATTTGTAACCCATGTGAAGGCGACGAGATATTCATATTCTTATTTTCGAGGGGGGAAAGAGGCGTGTTTGAATTGGTAGACATGACTGGACGCCGGGTATGACGAAACGAATCACTATCTGGAGGGGTGAGTACCCGTCCAGTATGAACCTGATCGTTCCATGCTCTTCCACTAGCTGATCGAATTTCTCGTGGCTGAGTCACTAGACCTCCGTCTTCACGTTGTACAGATAGACTTGGTTTTGGTATAGCAGTTCTTTGTTGCTGAGAAGGTAGGTAGCGGGCATCATGGCTATTCCCATGAAATGCTGTGCGCTGAATGTCATCCAAGTCGTCATCGATAGGTGATACATCTCCAGCCGTAAGCCTGTTTCAGTGTTAGAATTGTGACAAGCTTCTCGCATCCCTCCCTCATCCTAACAAATACAACGTACCGGTCTTGCGTGGCACAAACGTCCGGCGAGCTGGGTGGTGATATTTGGTCAGCGGCAGAGCCGCCTAGGCCAGTTGAAGACTCCAGTTTGTACTTCGGTGCAGGTTTGAACGGTTCTCCGTCACTCTTGTCGTAGACTGAGGATGCTGGGCGCCAGGCAGGATTGGTTTGAAGTTGCGAGGATTGTTGCTGCTGCTGCTGCTGTTGGCGCTGTCTTCTACGAGAGCTTCGCCGAGGAGGTACGATATCGAGATGCACAGATCCAGATGCGTTTTGCGATGGCAAAATACTAAGACCGAGTAGTATCACAAATTAGATATGAGAAATGTGAGGTTCGCAAGAGACATAATTTTACTCTGGCTTGGCTGAGCCATCTATAGCCGCAGTGAGAAGGGCTATGATGAGCAATAAGCTCCGCAAGCAGCCCCAAACAATGACAGGTATTGATTGACTTTTTATGTTGTTCACTTGAACAAACAATGCGTGGCGCAGGACAAGTCTGCCCTGGACCATGAACACCAAGCTCAGCTTTTGATGCTTAAAAATAGCCTACCCATGACCGGCAAGTGGGTTAAAGACTCGAGCGCCACGCCAAGGCATTTGATGCAAGAAATAGCGGTGGGAAATCGAAAAGGAACGTGCGCTTACATGTCAACGTTGTGGTATCGGGGCACGACCTTGCCTCGCTGAATAGCGAATCGGTTAGGGCTGTGTGTATTGTGAAAAATACCCAAGTCGTCGAGTGGTTCGGGAAAGTTGTCGTCAACAGCGTCTAGGAGATGATGTGTTCTCCCCGGTCTGACGGCTCGCGCGCGCTTTTGGGCCACCGTGTGCTTATGAACACTGCCACCTGGATGGCGTCCCTGGAAGGCTTCCTCTGGGGATGACGAGGTTCGCAGGCGGTCCCACATGGCGGAATCTAAGCCTAAAACCTTGGCAGGATCCGCTGAAACGTGAGACACAGGAGGTGGAAGTCTTGATGGTGGTGGTGGCGATGGCGGGCAGCACTTCGTCCAGGCTCCTCAGACCTGCGAGAACCTGACAAAAACGCCGGTTTGTAAGTCATTGGTTGGGTAGCAGATGCTTGGCTAGTTGGCTAGTCCTTGGAACTGACCAATTTCTAGACTGGTTCGAGCTTCAGTCTTGCAAACCCGAGGGTTATTCGCTTCAAAGCACAATATGAATGCTTGCTTCGTGCTCCGGAGTGCACAACACCAAGGGCCAAACAAAAGGAGAAGCCGTTTAGCTAGTTGTTCAGATGGTGCGTGGCGTGGCTAATATTGACTCTTGCGAGTGCTCCAAGCGGTTGCAGGGGCCACCAGAACATCCAGAGCAACTGGTCAGTGACGGCTTCCTCAGCCGTTGGACTACGTGTCTGGATGTTGTTGTTGTGGTGTTGACGGTTTCGTTCGTGGGCCGCTCGACCATGCGCGTGCCAGACAATGGAGTTGATGCTTCGGCCAAAAATTGAATATTGACCGTCTGGTTCAAAGCGAGCTCAAAGCTCAGCGGACATGTGCAAGTGAGCGGGTTGCACGTACCACAGGGAGGCAGTTCCTTCCTTCCCTTTGTCTGTTCGCCGTGCCTTCCGATGGATAAGGCTTCGGAGTTGGTAAAACCAGAGGCCCGTCGAGTTGGCAGAGCCAAAGAGTCTGGTATTGTCAGTTTCTCAAGGCTGACATACGTGCAATGGCTTATCCCAGTTTATGTATGATTTTCGTCGTATAATGCCGGTACTCCATGCTCCGTACATTCATACTGTTCCTGAGACTAATTATAATATCAGCCAAGGGGTCAGACCCCCCCGCAATTGCCTTGTCGCCATCTACATTCAACCAGAGCCAGTGGCCATGCGTTTGCATCCCCAGTCCGCGAAGCCACGCGCGGTTCGAAAAGTTACGGCAAAGATACCAGTTTGCCGATAAATCCCCTTCTGTAGCTGCAGTGCTGTCGGCCTGGTCCTTGATCGCACAGACGTTTTGCTACAGATGGCTTGTTTCCCGAATGGCCCTGTGTCCGGACTGAGATGGGTACATGTAGGGATCAGCCCTTGCATGAGTGCAGAATCTTTACCGCCTTAGACCAGCTCTTCACCAGCTCGCCAGTATCAGACGACAGGAGCCAACCGAGCCAAATAAAACATGGGTGAGTGTTCTAGTGTCTGGCGACAAACATTTTGGGCCACACGCTTCTCGCCGTCTCGTGTCCACCTCGGCTGACGTCCTGTTCCATGTTGGTTTCAGAACATTAGGCCGAATGGCAGGTACTTGGGCAACTGTTGAAAACCATGCCTCGTGACAAAAAAAGAATGTCAAATAGATCCAATCTTCGACGAATTGATTGCAGATACAGAAAGGCCACATTACCTCACTCGCCGTGATGTCTTCATCGCCAGAAATGAGAATATCAACCTTCTCAAGATTCCGGTCATGTCCAATTTTATCAGCTCAGGGTCACATCGAAATGACTACTACTTGGCAATGCCCAGGTCCAGTTATCAGTCTTGCCACTCACAAAACAGCCAACCACGAACATCGTCGTGGTTCACCTGATCGGTGGTGCACACCTGGGTAAAACAAGGCATTCCCACCATGATGCTATATGCGAAATTGGCAGCATTTCCGAGTTTCTTGCCCACTGTACTTACTGCATGGAGGTGTGTTCTGTGTTCCAGCTTCGTTACACGCACGTGGAAAAGCTCCGAGGTTTCTTTGTTGCCCGGCATCGACCACATCAAGCAAACACATCCAGTCAACAGTCAACTCCAGCCAATAGTTTCATGATCAGGTCATCTGTACTCCCTACATACCATTGCACAGAGCAATGGCTACTGTTTCAGGCCTCGGCGGCGCCAAACCCTGGCAAACTCCACCACGCTCTCCTTATTCGCCTGAACAAAGCAGTTGCACGTGACAAAGCCAGCAAACGCTCCGCAAGCACAGACTACTGTACGCTATACCTTCAGGTGGCACTGGGGTTTTCAAAATTGAGTTATCACTGCTGACTTTTCTGGGGATTCTACTCATCACCCTTGACGGTGAACAGAGATGGCTGGTACTCGGTACTCCTTCCGGACTGGATTCATTCCGTTGAAAGAGCACAAGATCAGGATGGGCTGGACAAATGACCAGTGGTCAACTGTCGAAATATTCCTCATTCGTACGAATGCGATATTGACTGCAGATTACTAGTGATGATGTCCTCTATAAGCTTGTATTGTGCGGTGTTCCGATCACATTATCGCGATCCACACTCCCAGTTTGGTAGTTGGCGCAGTTAATGGCTCCAGCGATGACAGGATTGTATGCCAGCACTGAAGTCAGCCTGGCCCGAAGACGACATTCCTTTTTAATACTGCTATCCAGTGTTGTAAGCGTCCTCGTGTTTCCAATTATTCTTGGCTGTATTCTGAATGGCAATGTAGAGGTACAAAAGTTCCACGCGAGTCAACGACTAGAAGCACATCGTGGTTGCAGTTCAGCATTAGAAAGCTCCATCGAGAATGATTGTCACTTGATCGACCGCCAGCGTTGGGAGGTGAGACCTCTTATTTGCTGTTTTTCCACGCCGTATACATCCAGGCAACTCAACCATCTGAGTTTGATGGGACTTGAACAACGCGGCCAGGTTAGCGATATCCGCCAACGAGCAGTAGAGCATTTCAGGCATTTGGTCGGCTCATTTAGCGGCGCCCAGCTCTGGAAGGCATCAATGGATGTATCCATGAAATCAAAGCATTGCCCACAGAGTCACACCACACGCCAATCCCCAACCAACATGGCTTAACAAAGGTCGACCATGGGCGCTCGCCGCGCTTCTCCCACCGGAACCATCCACTGTTCCGTCATGCTGGACCCTGAATTCGACAGTCAATCCAGACGGGGAGCATATCGTCCCGGCAGCGCAGTTCATCACCGCACTCCACTGACCACTGGCGCACCGTTGGAACGAGTTGGTCATGCAGTTCCATTGGCCTTCTGTGGAACAGGACGAGCCAACTGCCTGGGAGCGTTTGAATAAACTCGGCGGTGGAATTTCAGCCTTTTGAGCGTACGTATGAGCTGCAAGCATAGGCAAAAGTATGAGTGCAATTGCCGTTTGCAAAAAAATTGGACGTAGCTGAGAAATCATCATGTATGTGTATTTGTGTAAATGGTTGGCGTGGGCACTATGGATGACCCAATTCGGAAGAAAGAACTTGAACCGTTGGACAAGAACAACGACGGAAGTCCCAAGATGAGCTCTGAAGATTTCCTCTCTTTCTCTCTCTCTTTATTAAAAAAAAAAAAAACACGAGTTCCTAAAAATCGGGACGTGGTGAAATTTAACCTGTTCACAATGGTGCCTTTCCCACCAAATTCGCTTCGTGACTGAATTGCTGCCCAGTTCGGTCGGACCCATCGCCAACGTGTGTACACCACATTGGCGGGATCGAGTCACGAACCCACCCGATTCATTCAGGTTGGGACAGCTGGGATCGAAGCGGTGTATTGGGCTCGTGCCTGACGCGACCATGGTAGGGCTGGATTGGGCTACGGGTTCCGGCGATCGATATAAGTGAGACATTGGAAAATTGTGGGATTTAATCTGCGCCCTGAAATAGTGAGTTTGGCCTTTTTTTTTCGGCTGTAATTTTGAGACTTGGATTCTTTGCGGGGGGGATTTGAAGAGCTTCTCTAGCCCAATATCTTTGCCTAGCAGACGACTATGCAAGACTTATCAGTGCCATTACTAGAGCACCACGGAGAGTCTCCTCCCGTAATCAAGCCCCAAACCAAGAGTTTGAAGCGAAAAGATGACTTGTGTTAAACGCCGTGGTTAAGGAAACCTACAGTTGATATCCCTTGGAATCGTCAACTGTGCCTCACAAGGCGGGCGAGGGTGCGCAATATAAAGACCATCACGCTCCGAACGGTCTCGACCATACTATCATCAGACTAGTAGTCCGAGCATGATCCGCAAATGTACAAAATTGATATAAAACTGAGATGAACCTAGTTTCTTTGGCGGACAATTTTGGATGCGGTAGGAGAGTATATATGCCCAAGACACCCGACAGACTCGAATTTCCCCCTAGGCCACGGCACATTCACCAACGGCGTTGCAATATCAGAAAGTCGACGTTGAGATCTCCTTCCAGGAAAGATGGCTCAGTGGCCGTGTCACAGCAAAAGGGGGAGATGTTCCAATACCATAATGTCAGCTTCCTTGACCACTTGCCATGAACTTGCCCCTGCGAGTGTTTTGAGTCCTTGTGTACCGGGCAGAGATTGTCCTGCTTCCGCCCAGTCCCTCATTTGTTCGGAACCACTCTGCCTGCCTCCACGGTGAATCTTTTTCAAGCAACACCGTCTTTCCTCTCGGCCGTCTCAGCCTCCCCTTCAACCCTCGTAGTACGACGAAGTCTCTGCAAGACAAGCAACACAGCCACTGCCGTCAGGGCGAGAGACAAGACGCAAGTCACCAAAACTGCCACAATAACAATGGTTTCCTTGTCGGCCGTGGACGAAGTTTGTATGGTGATTGCCGTGCCGTTCGCGTTGGGGAAGTCTGTCTCTGAGTTCCACATTTTGAGGAATTGTTTCTGAAGCAGAATTTAGTAACTGGTTTTCACTTATTCCGGCCGTGATTTCTTACTGGCAAGCCTCAAGTCGTTTTGTGCTGGTAGTTATGGGCGGAATCGCGATTTGCGAGATTGCGTTGCACAGGTTGATGTTTCTGACATTTATCGTGTTTCGGGCTATGACGGCCTTTGATTTGGAATTTATGAGGTTTGATATTGTTCAGCGCGACGATATTGTTGTTGCCGCGTGAATTCGCATCATTCAATCGCACTAGTATTGTCGCAAGAAGTGAGCGTGATGAGACGGGCATGCATATCTTGCTTTATAAAAATCCCTTTCACGTGCATCTAAGGAAAAGACAAAGGAAATCCATCAAGTATTATCATTTTTGTAAGATTGATATTATTCCGTCTATAGACATTATATACCTAGGTAAAATGGCAGCACATCCCAGCGCTTGGTGCGTGTCGCCACAACCAATTGACAATATGCATATATACATATATGCATGCGTATGCCCCGGTAATATCCTAAACTCCAGTTGCCATGTGCTGCTAGTATTATGTGGTGCAACTTTCTGATGCCCTCCTCCATATTCTACATGCGTCTTGCAAGGTCTTCTCGTCCATGTCTGCGATTCCGTCTCCCATTCTCATTACTTCTTACATGCGTTTCAAAACATATCGGGAATGTGGTGAGTTTGTACATGTGAACTCATTAATAATTAATGAAATAATCTTAAAGACGCCGGAATCGATGAGTAGCGGTGCCATTCCATGCTGGGTATGTGGTGTGCCACTTGCCATTGTCATAAGTATTTGTTGAGGCTAATGAGGATGAGGGCGTGAGGAAGACAGTTCTCAAAGTCGTGGGGACCCAGGTGGTATTAGTCGCTATGGGCACAGGAACCGTTGTTGACGTTTTTGGTCTACCACCGGTTCCAAGAAGGGTCGTTGTGCGCACGGCTGTGTTGGTGGTTTCTGAGTATGGATATGATGTGCTTGTTGTGTGATTGGAGCTTGGAACAGACCAAGTTTTTGTTGACATTGGAGCAGGCGGCGTCGCAGAGAGCATCGAGTGGATTGTATCCGTGGGAGATGTTGGGATGACGACGCTAGATGTTGTGGAACTAACGGACGGTATGGGCGTTGCTGCTGTAAAGTTGGCCTGAGTGGAAGTGGTAGTGAGTGTTGTTGTGGTTGCTGGAGCAGAAACTGATGTCGTGGTTGTAGGAGCAGCAACTGAGCTCGTCGTCGTAGAGGTGGCGGTTGAGGTCGTCGTTGATGCAACAGTGGGTGTCACTTCGGCAGTTACAGTGATCGTAACATCCGGTTTGCCTCCAATGGGAATTATTGAGATGGTGGTGGGAGTCGGATGCGTGACAGTAACAGGTTGGCCAGTTTTGGTGACTGTGTGAGTGACAGGATCTTGAGTCTTGACGACCGTCTTGGTCACATCACCGCCCTTGGAACTACTTTCACCATTGCCATCGTTGCCGCTTTGTGGATCATCATCGCCAGGCTCAAGAGGTACAACGGAATACTTGGGCTTAACGGGAGTAGTAGCTGCGGCTCGAGGCACCATGTCCAATTGTGGGAGTGCAGAACCAAGCGTGGCAAGTGCTGAGAGCACGGCAACGAATGGGACGGGTCCACGCATATTGACGAAAAATGTCCCTTCAAAACTGCGCCGGCCGTAGTTATGTGGTTGTGGTTATGATTGTGATGATGTTTCAGATGGCAGTTGAGAAAATCCCAAGACAAGAATGTGAATGACAACGGATAGTGTTTAGTGCAGTTGACCAGGAATGCCAAAAAAGGACAAGGCAGATGATGACCACTAGAGGCGGTAAATATAGAAAAGAGAAAAGGCATGCAACGCCAGATGCGCAGTGATTTTGACATATCGTCGGTGCACCCGCCCATGGATGTGGACTGGTGGCACCGAGTCTCGAGATTTCAAGGTGGCTGGTGAAATGTGGTGGTTGGCGACGGCGCGGCAGGGGGTTGTGCTATTTGTGCGGCAGAAAATCGTTATTCGTGCGGCACCAGACCCGATTCAGATAAGTGGCTAGTTGGCCACACCCCACCATACATTTTCATATACACCCACATGGAAAAGGCTATAATTCAAAAACTTAAGCTGGATATTAATGAAAATCTATTAATTTTTTAATAACGCGAGCCTAAGCGAGCGCTGGTAGGGCTTAAATCACTTAAAAACGCGATTTCCGGTGTTTTTAATGAATGTGTACACATTCACGGGCCGTTACTTATTCCGCTGCCTCCGAGAGCGCTGCCCGGGCTCCTAAGGGGTCATCCATTAAAGCTGCAGCTCTTCCGACTGCGTTTGAGGGATAATTTCCTTAATTTCCAGCGACCCTAATACTACCGCTTGCTCTATAGCTTATCTACTTGTTAATTGAGTTTGTGTGTTATTTACAGCGTTTATTGACCGCTACCTTGACCGTATTACGAGTCTTCTTTGTTATTGCGTCCCAAATTATTGTTCTAGCTCTGCCTGCGTTACTGTGCGCCGGATGCTTGGATTTACTCGGCCTTAATAACTTTAAGAGCTTAATTAAGGCCTTTAAATTGGCTATTGACTGCTATTATCATCGATTTTAGTGTTGTGTATTTAAGGGTGTATTTGAGGGCGGAGGCTGCAGCCTGATTTTTTATTGTGTGCTGGGCGGTCATTGTGAGGTATCTTCGTGATAATCCTTGCGTTGCCAGGCTAATGGGGTGTGGCAGCTGGGGGGTGCACCCCAATTGGGCTTAGTGCCGCACGAATAACGATTTTCTGCCGCACAAATAGCACAACCCGCGGCAGGGGGCAAGGACAGTGCTGCTGAAAGAGGCAGGAACGGGAGTGGGGCAGTGTACGGAGTAACTCCGTACATACCAGCAACTTGGTGCCAGGGGTAAGTCCGTGGAACATGGGGAGCTCTTGGTGGTCGAGTACTAGGTACCTAAGTACATGACGGGGCGACTTTGGCGGCGTGGTACATGTATGTTGTGCTACTAGCTCTGTTGCGAACTTACAGAACATGGAAGGGTCCATTGACCGATCCGCTGGTAGGAACACAAATTGAAATGTTGAGGTTCCATGTGCAAGGCCGAGGTTAGTGGCGCTCGGTGTTGCTGCTGGCACTCAGAGCGCTGGTGGTCAACGGCGGTTGGCCCCAGTTGAAAATTCGGTGTTGCCAGACGGAGTGATAGTACCCCACACAACCCTGCTGTATCGTCCCCTGGTTGGTTCGGCAGCACCCGCCGAGGCCAGCCAGCCACCTTCAAATGATGTTTATCAGACCAGATCCTTTGTTTTCACAGCACCAGGCGCCTTCAGCACCCAGATTTCTCCAGCAAATAGGATCAGATGCCTCGCGCCCATCACCTTTGTTCCAAAACACCAGACTGGTCTGTCTCGAGACATATTGGCCATTTTCATCCCCTCTCGAGACAGACAATAGGCTTTTCGTATGGCTGGAGGAGCGCCTCCCCCAATGTTGCGGGATAAGGCTTTCTTTGTTGATGTACGGAGTAGTTCTTGGCCAACGCCGTGTGCCGAGTCTCTTTTCCTGACTTGGAGTATGTACTCGTGCCACGCCCCACATTAGGTTGTTCAGCTAGCAAAGCCCTCACCACCTAAGGTGGTGCTTAACACTAAGGCAGGCCACTCAGCAAGCCGGGCTAATTTTTAACCTAATAACTCAATTAACCTCTTCGCGTATAATATACACCCTTTTCGTCCTAAATTTCTAGTGAATTTAGTATAAAAGTTTAATGCTATTTACGTGCCTCTTTTATAGCTTTAAAAAACGCTTTTTTAGTTAAGTTATAGTGTTTTTTTTAATAGCCTTAATAACCTAATAGGCTTAACGAACGCTATTATTAGTTTTTTACTTAATTATTTTACGGCCGTTAATAATCAGAGTATTAGAAGTAGTGTAGTTTTATAGTTTTTAGTGATTAAAAAAGCTAGTATACTTATAATATATTAAAGGCGTTATATTATGTAATAATATGCTATTTTATTACTTGAAACATGTATATATAGCTTATTAAAAATCTTTATATCTTAAAACTTTAACTAAATATAACTCCTAGAATATAGAATACTAGACTTATAATTATATAACTAATATTAAATTAAAGGGCTTTTTAAGGGCTATTAATTAATTATAAGCTCATAAATTTTAGTTGAGTATTTATAGAGATATTAAGAAATAGAAATTATAGCGTTTTTTATTAAAGTAAAGTAAAATACTATAGCGTTTTACCTTAATTAACTTACCCTATTAAATACCGCGGTTATTATTATTATAATTAATAGGTGAAATTAAGTGGGGTTATAATTTTTAAATAGCTAAGATTACAAGCTTTAAAATAATATTACTCTAATTTTTAAACTCCTTTTTTTCATAAAGTTATAATAGTTTTAATATATAAAAAGTTAATATATAGAATAAATTTACAATATAAACGGTTTTAGAAACCTTAGAATTTAGGCATTTTTTTAATGCCTAACTTACCCCTTAAACATGTATATTTATGCGGAAAATAATAGAATAATTTTATGAGAAAATGTAACTATAGTAAAATAGTTAAAAAAGCTAGTATGCTTATAATACATTAAAGGCGTTATATTATGTGATAATATGCTGTTTTATCACTTAAAACATGCATATATAGCTTATAGGAAATCTTTATATCTTAAAACTTTAACCGAATATAACTCCTAGAATACTAGACTTATAATTATGCAATTAGTTTTAAATTAAAGGGCTTTTTAAGGGCTATTAATTAATTATAAGCTTATAAATTTTAGTTAAGTATTCGTAGAGATATTAGGAAATAGAAATTATAGCGTTTTTTATTAAAGTGGGGTAAAACGCTATAGCGTTTTACCCTAGTTAACTTGCCCCACTAAATACCGCGGCTATTATCTTTATAATTAATAGGTGAAATTAAGTGAGGTTAATATTTTTAAATAGCTAAGATAATAAGCTTTAAAATGATACTACTCTTGTTTTTAAACTCCTTTTTTTCATAAAGTTATAATAGTTTTAATATATAGAATAAAAAAAACTTAAGAATAAAGTTTTTAATATTTATATTAATCTTTATATATATAGAATTAATTATATTAAATATATATTTAAGCTTATAAAATACTTTATAATATATATAATTTTACTTTAATATATATTATTTATATTAATTAAATTAAAAAACATATATAATTATATATAAAATAATTTATATAAATTTTATTAT